ACATTACCGCAGGAAAGGTTAAAGTTTGATCAAAACTTATAAAATTAGCCTCCAACAAAACTCGATTTTCATCAAATTGTAAAAATCCACGAAATTTTTCAATAAAATCCGCGAACTTTTTGTTTTTGTTTTACAATGTATACAAAAAGAGAAAGAGAATTGTAATAGAAGATGTGCGCGAAGCGCCCTGTAAGCCTAGTTTTAACTACTTTTCTTGTCTGTTTGTCTGCTTGTATCCAATAAACGCCAAAACGGCTAAAATGTCCTCAGAGAAGAGGTTTATAGATGATCAAAATTAAAAAATTAGGCTCCAACAAAATTCTATTTTCATTAAATTGTAAAAATCCACGAATTTTTTTTTTTTAAATCCGCGAACTTTTTTGTTTGTTTTTTTAACAATGTATACAAAGAGAAAATGTTCACAATTGAAATAGAATATATAAACTTGCGTGCAGTCTGCCTGTCATAATTTACATCTATATATATATATACGTTGCTTGGCTGTCTGCTTGTTTGTATCCAATAACGTCAAAAAAGCTGAAACAATCGGGCCCAAATTTTGATTGGGACCTCACATTAACCTCAGGGAAGTTTTATGGATGATCAAAATTTCAAAAATTAGCCTTCAACAAAATTCGAATTTTGAAAATTTTGAAAATCGAAAAAAAAAATTTATTAAGTCCGCGAACTTTTTTGTTTGTTAGTGTTTTACAATGTATACAAAAGAGGAAATGTTCGCATTTGAAATGAAAGCCTAGGGTATATATACAGTAAACGCCTACTCCATAACAAGTTCTCGAAACGTACAGGGTGTCCCACGAAACATGACAACTAGAATTTTCCTCCTAAAAAAAAGTTTTCGAAAAAATGCCGCAAATTATTTCAAAGTTCTAAGACGACCTTCAAAATCGTCTAGATATTGTCATTTTTCGTCAGACACCCTGTATCTATCCAGTTACAACTCAGATTTTTTTACTATCAATGTCATCACCAGGCTACAATCCCGTAGACTATCAACGCCACTACCGCTGGGTGCGGTCTCGTTAGCTATCGGTGTCAATGCGTACACTAGCTATTAATCTATCTCTAAATGCCACACAGGGACACAAGCACATCTATCAAACAAGCTATTAATCCAGCTCTAAATGCCACACAGGGACACAAGCGTAGCTATCAAACTATACCAAATACCGAGGTATGATCTCAGCCCGTATGTTTCAATGAGGACACAGTTTAGCTCTAAGAAGCTCTTAATCAATCCATACCAAATACCAAGCCCTTATTTTGCAATGAGGACGCAATTACTCTACACTGTAACCAAAGCAGAGTTTCTATGTTAATTAATGCATTTGAGGTTTATGTGTTACAAGTTTAAGTTAAAAGAATTACAATTCCTACGTCGTTATCTATATCACATAATTAAGACGATCATGTTACGTAATTACCGAACAGTTAAAGTTGAATGTACGTATTTATAAGGTTAGCGAGGATAGATATACGTAGTTGAACGTATTTATTTAAAGGATTAAAGGATGGATATAAATGTAGTTAATCTAGTCACAATTCATGTTTTTATCATGTTACTGTATGTTTTTTTTTTTTTTTTTTTTATCCAATAAATGTCAAAACGGCTGAACTGATCGGGTCCAATTTTGTGTGGGATCTCACGTGGACCCAGGGAAGATTTATGAATAATCAAAATTTCAAAAATTTGCCTCCATCAAAATTCGATTTTCATTAAATTTTGAAAAAATTAAAAAATCCACGATATTTTTTAATGAAATCCGCGAACTTTTTTTGTTTTGTTTTACAATATACACAAAGTGAACATGTTCACAATTGAAATAGATGGGCACGAAGCTCTCTAAAAGCCTAGTATTTATATAATTTGCTTGTCTGTACGTACGTTTGTATCCAATAAAGCAAAAAGTTTTACCAGACACTTAATAAGTAAAATGGGTCTGTTTACACTGCACAATTGCTGTGGTTCATGTTCATGACTTTTTAAAGTTATAATTTGAGTCTAAAAGTCGTCTTTCTATTTCAAAGTTTTCTAAATCTCGAGTGTAAAATATACATTCATGATTTAATGACTCATTTAAAGATTTAAAATACATCTGGTTTTTTTCACATTAATTATACTTTTCGATACTTAAACTAGCTTTGAATAATCAAATACGGTTTCTATAACTCGGTATTTGCAGGGTTTAAAGTGGAATGGGGGGGGGGAGGCCATTCGACACAGATTAAGGAATTGAGTCTTTGCCACAAACTCTGACTTTCTAATCCCTATCTTTAGTTTGAAATATCAAAGGTTCACACCATCATGTTGCAAAGATATTGGAATTAGACAATTTGAGTTTGTGTCAAAGACTCAATTCTTTTACTCGTTTTACCTCCTGTGTGATGTTATCTTGATTGAAATTTTTAATTATAGTCTATTTTAGTTTAACTTAGATAAATATACCTTTTTTAACAAACACTTTTATGACGGGATTTGCCTAACCAACATTGGCCGTCCTTAATGGCAAAACCCTGATGTTATTGTATGATATAATCTTTAAATATTTAAATTGGATGTTGTGTTTTGTCCAATAGGTAGGGGAAAGAATCAGGATTCAGGAAGAGAGAGGGGGGTTATGTTGTAGCTCAATCAGAATTAATAGCTCAGAACTAAGGATAGCACATTTATTTATTCAGAAATACATTAGAAACAATTAGTATATGTATATATATATATATATATATATATACAGATTTGTTTTTTTACACATTTTTTTACGAGTTTTAAGATGGGGAGTTTGTTTATTTCTATTAACAATGAAAAATTATGAATTCCATATTTGAGGTAGGAAAACTTTAAGAAATTGTGCTAATACTTTTCCTATCGGTTTTTCTAATCTTTTTGTTCGGTTTCTACGCAATTTCAAGCAACCCACCATTTATATATTGGAATGTACGATTTATAAAGTTAGTAGCCGTTAAACCTTTGTCTGATTTTGCCTAATATCCTTATATTTATAGCTGAAAATAGATTATTTTCAATTGAGGTTACTCTTTGAAAAGACAATGAAGGATATTGTCAGAATTCAACACGTTCACAGAAAAACAAAGATATCATTCTTATTTATACTCAGATACCGTGAATCGGACATGCCACTCTATCGAGAATATACTTGAAATTGCGTCTATACTTCCCTTTCAGATGTTGGGGAATTATTCTAAGAAACAAACTCAAGTTTCCTATATCCATCCCTGTTTTCCTAAATGTGACTAAGTAGAATAGAATTCAAGGTCTCTAAACAGCTGATGGATATTTTTAGAATTCGAAAATACGAAAATTTGGACCGTAGTTGTTTTCTTTAATCAGCTGTCTCAATTAGTTTCCAATTATTTTTTATTAATTTTCCCTTCCTTTTCTCTTATCTCTCTGCTCCTATTCTTTTATGATTACCTTTTATTCTCTCCTATTCTTTTATGATTACCTTTTATTCTCTCCTATTCTTGTATTCTCTCCTATTCTTGTATTCTTTCCTATTCTTGTATTCTCTCTTATTCTTGTATTCTCTTCTATTCTTGTATTCTCTCCTATTCTTGTATTCTCTAATATTCTTATATTCTCTCCTATTCTTGTATTCTCTCCTATTCTTGTATTCTCTCCTATTCTTATATTCTCTCCTATTCTTGTATATTCTCCTATTCTTGTATTCTTTCCTAATATTATTTTATTCTCACATTTTCTTGTATTCCTTTTTATTGCGTAACAGGTCTATCTAGTTCTATCCATATATCTATTCTTTCTAATTGTCAATCTAATTTTATCTGTCTATTTAAACTACAAACCTATTTTTTTATATTTCTATCTTCTTGACACCAACATAACATGAGTTGAAAAGGTTTAGTCTGAAGGTGCTGTAAACAATTAAATCCATGAAATAAAAAACATGTTTTTTCAAATCTGTTCCTCAATAATCAAGTAAAAGGAATTGAGTTTTATTCATAGATAAATAAATAAACATAGATAGCTTATGTACGTAAAATCACCAAGAATTGTACAGTCCACGAAATCATACTTCTAGGGATCAAAGTGTATTTCAATGATAAGCGGGGTGGTTTGGTGTTTTAATGGATTTCATAATAGATGAGTTTAAAATAACTCTGGGAATGGAACTATTTGAAGAACAATATTTCACTGAGCAATATATCATATTGACGAGGACTGAAGAAGGACATGAGAAGGACTAAACTAACTTAAATTTATCTCTACAGAACTCATGTACACCACAAGTACTCAATGTCATAAGAACAGCCAATATTCACAACCGACCAAGTTAATCTATATAATAGGAATATCTTAAAAACATCTCTGTACATTTATATCTTTCAAGATGAAAAATGTCGTCTTATGCGCAATCTATCTTTATCTATGGTTTTATTCCACAAACTCTGATTTTCTAATCCATATATCTTTGGAACCCAATGTCGTAGACCTTAGATATTTCGAACTATGAATACTGATAGATCAAATAATCTTAGTTTGAAATATCAAAGGTTTACACAATCAGGTTGCAAAGATATATGGGAATAGAATATTTGAGCTTGTGGCAAAGACTCAATTCCTTTGCGTGAAGTGAATATATTAGTCTAGATGAGTAATCACTTTTCTATCTGTATTCATTCTTTCTTAAATTAACACAATCTTATTTTCTATCTGTCTATCTATTTATCTACTGATCTATTAATTTATCTCTCTATCGTTCTATTTAACTATCCATATATCTATCTATTTAACTATCTATATATTTATCTATCTATCTATCTATCTATTTATCTACCTTTCTATCTATCTATATATCACTCTACGTGTAAGGACAGAATGACCTGAGTATACTATTGTCCCACATTCTTGGCAGCAGGTCACCAGCTAGCCAAGTTTCCTTGAGGGCGCCGGTCAAACAATACTGTCCAGCTAGGCAAGGGTGGGGCGGGACTAGCTGGGCCGGGCAGAGTTCTACCTGCCCTGGCATTGTATCAAGGAAACCTTATTCTTGTTCTCTGTACTAGGTTCAGTCCTGAGACTAAGCTTGTAGTATCAGCACTCACTTTTGGTGAGAATAATACAATTAGAAATAGAGCATTCAAATATACATATACACACACATATATATATACTATTCAAGAACAGTCCTTTATCTAGGGTTTATTCTTTAGAAAACAATTTAAAATTAAATCTGATAAAACATTAAGAGATTGTTTAATATTTACTGGAGAAAGCAATGTTTGTGAGGTTTTGGGGAATAGTGTTCTATAAATAGGGCTCTATAGGACTCTGTAGGATTCTATAGGACTCTGTAGGACTCTGTAGGATTCTTTAGGACTCTATAGGACTCTATAGGATTCTATAGGACTCTATAGGACTCTATAGGACTCTATAGGACTCTATAGGACTCTATAGGACTCTATAGGACTCTATAGGACTTTATAGGACTCTATAGGACATTCATTTATTTAACTAGATGCATGAGCAATTACGAAATATTATTGGAGGCAGGAGTGGGAAGGTTTTATGGTAATGAGAAAATCCTATTGTGCACCAAAAAAATATTACTCTTATATACAAGACATTTTAATTAACGAAAAGTGACAAAACTATCAAAAAATTCGATTTTTATTTTTTTAATGAAGAAAAAACTGTACCCTTAATGTGATCAATCTATTTGTGAAAATAATATTCATGATTAATTCCTGATTTGCAACTAATTGCATATATTTTACAGTGTCTGTTTCCCGGTACACCACTAGCACATCAAGATGCCCAAGAAAGCAAACATCTTCGACTCCTTCTCCCACTCTGCCATCCAGCAGTTCAAGGAGGCCTTCGGCATCATGGACGTAGACAAGGATGGTCTTCTCTCCGCCTCTGACCTCACAGTAAGTATACTTAATATGTTCTCTTTTAAAAAAAACTTTAAGTACTGCAACTGTCCGACGCAACTGTCCGGCTTTGCTGTACCGGTCTGATTTAACATACAATGTTGTACGTTACTGATATTTGGACAGGGCCGAACCGTGTACTCTACCGCACATCATACATTAATCTGTTCCATCATGGCTCAATAAAACATGTGAGATAATTTGTATTCCCTGATCTAAGGCTGGATTTTTATTAAACGTCAAATAAACACAAAGGAATAAGAAAAAAGCGTTGAAAAAATAACCAAAAACGTTATTTCTCATAAATTTTGAATTTTAGGCTGCATTCGCCAACCACGGCAAATCCGTGTCTGGAGGAGAAGCCCAGGTAAACAAACCTGTTTAAATAGTATAAATTTAAAATAATAAGAATAGGAAACAAATGTAGCCTGACCGTAAAAAGTATGAATTCTGGCAAAGTTCCAAATTATGATTTTCTTTCTTACTGCATTGTAGGATGATTAGATTCTTATATAAACTGAAAAATAAATACAATACACTTTTTATCAAAATATTTCTGATTTTGACAAAGTTATTGATCAGGGCATGCTTGATGAGGCTGATGGACCCATGAACTTCACCCAGATGGTTACCCTGTTTGCTGGCAAGATGGCCGGAGGAACTGATGACGATGAGACCATCCTCAAGTCATTCGAGGCCTTCGAGATCAACGGACAGATCGATGCTGAGGCCTTCAGACACTCCCTCATGACCTTTGGCAACAAGTTCTCCGCCAGCGAGGTCGACGATGCGTTCGCTGAGTTCCAGATCGACGGAGGAATGATCGATGCTGCTCACCTCAAGGGGCTCATGTGCTCCAAGTAAATCTTGAGCAAGCACCAGCACACAACACCCGTGCACATTCATTCTGATCAACTTGTTTTCCACTGCTCTTGCTCTTCAACCCTACCCCCGTTCCATTCAGGGGCGTGCTAACCAATAAATCAAATTGTTGTTAAACACATTTTTAAAATTAAATTAGTTGAGAGCTTAAAGAGCAGATTTTGGTTTGACGAGACCACCCCCTGACTGGTTTGTGATACAGGCTCTGAAACATCAAAAACATCAAAGATCGATGGAAAGTCACAAAACAGGAGGGGGGTCGTCCTTGACCAAAATATAAATTCCAAGAATGATTTAACTAAAATTACTTTTTTTAAGTGATAACTTTTATTGTAATGTACAGTGTATGATAGTTTATTAAATTCCTCACTATTGATGTTTAATTATTAGATCTGCCATTACAGAGACTAAAGTTAAAATAACAAAAATTAAACATAATTTTGGCTTAATACAAAGCATATGATTCAAAAACAGTCTCAGAAAAATTAAATCGAATCATCATGTATAAATATGGTTGTTTATTTTTTGGTTTGCTTTAACAAACTTTTGATAAAACTTCCAACCTTTCAAAACTGTATTCTGTTATATTTTGTTTTTATTAAACATAAAATTATTCTTATTCTAAGAGAAAATGTAAAGGAAAAACGAACCTAAAAACAATTGTTTTTGTTCGTTTTGAAAATATTTTCTCTAGGGGTCAAAATTTAACATAGTGTAAGAAAGGCAATTGTTTAAAACAAACAATTTTGAAATATTTGAAAAGACCAGAACACTTCAAAACCCCTCTAAAACGAAGTAAAATCAAATAAAAACGATTCACATCGGTAAAGTACTTTTACCTTAATGTTTAAAAAAACACTTCTGAGAAAAAATTCACTCTCCAATTAATCAAAAAATGGCTTTTATTGATCATTCTTGCGTTTTGATCTTAAAACAAATCATGGGAGACAATGAAACTTGATTAACAGGCATACACAATTAAAACTTTCTTTGGTGTGTTTTCTTTTTGGAATTGAATGTTTTCTCACTAAGCGATAGAAATCCACAAATCTCTTTTCTGTAAAAGTCGTATTCTTGAGTTTTTTTTCGGGCCAAAAAAACGTACGGCATGTTTTCAAATCTCNTTATTAATTGAACAGTAAAAGCATATTCATGTTTTTACTAGTCAGGGAAAGTATATGACTATATGACTCATGACTGAGAGAAGTGTTTTCAATGTTTAAATGTTAACGAGGCATGCTCTGGAGCTGAAGAGATGTTTGTTTATACTTTAAACATCCAAGCAGTTCCAGGCACTAGAGAGAAAGGGAGGATGGGGGGGGGGCGAGAAAGGACTTACGTATATAAAAAGAAAGATATAAGAAGAGATGGATGAAAACATGTATGAAGAAATAAAGAAAGAAAGTAAAAAGAAAGAAAAGAACCAGAAAGGAAAGCACACGAGGTGAAAGTTGAATTGAAAGGATGGAGAATTGAAGAAAAAATAAAGGAAAAAGTAAAAGGAAGAAAGATAAACTTGTTTTTAACATTAATAGGTATTATGGTAGTTAGGCATTCGACTAATAAATACGATAGAATATTGAACATTTTCATTAACTAAATAGGAATATCGTTTTTTCATGTTGCACGTTAATATAGAATATATAAACATTTTGGAAAGACTGTATTAAGTAAGATAGATTTATATATGAAATATATATAAATAGAAAGATGAATAGATGAATAAATGAAAGTTTGTTTTGAATCTTCATGATAGAAACAAATTTCAAGAATTATAGAGGGTCAACACAGACCGAAATATATTTTCAAAAATAGAAAGTTGAATAGATAAATTGGAAATAGATTTGTAAATAGATAATAAATAAATAAATAGATAAAAAGATAAAAGATAAATAGATAAATAGTAAAATAGATAAATAGATAAATAGATAAATAGATAAATAGATAAATAGATAAATAAAAAGAGAGAAAGCAGAAAGTTTGGTCAGTGAAAGGTTAAACCTAAACAAATCTGACATTTAAACTTCTAAATAAAACTTCAGATAAAATGAAAACGGAATTATCTAAGCGTCCCACCTAAGAACTAGCTTAGATGAGTTATATTTCATGTTCAAGTATCGAAATAACTTATACAATTAAAAAATAGCAGTCGGTCAAATGCAACATTACTGGTTCAACTTTGAGACCTCGTAACTCCTCTTGTTTTTGTTTTACGCAGAAGAATGAGAAATGTAAATTTATCCAGTTATATATTAGAAATTCTAAACATTTATGTTCTTGTCAAATGTAAATAATCAACCATAGAAGTTGTACTGAAGAAATTTTAAAATGTTTAGCTTGACCCCCCCATGCTTGATGANCATAATAAATAGATCAACATATTTATTCTGTATTTATGAGTCTTAAAGGGACTGCTATCGTCGTTTTAGCTGTCACAATTAAATGAAGTTAAAATTAAAAACATGGATATCTAATTCTTTCTTGATCATGAAAATGTTTATCTAATTAGGTCTACTGTCCCACTCTTTCCTAAACCCCACTTTACTTTTGGTCAGTGTACTGCAGATTACTGCAGTACACACCGGAAGTTTAGTGTAAGGTGAGCTGGAACCAGTCCGGAACCCATATTTGTTTACATGTTTGTGAGTGGAGTATATAGATAAACAAACATCAGTGCTTCAAGGCAGAGGTGTTTTTCATATTTCTCCCATCAGGAAATACTGTTCACTTTTTATAAACAAAGACTATAGCTAAGGTGCCCGGCGTTGCCCGTGGAATTTTAGAAACACTTTAAAAATAACAATTTTAAAAAATCGAATACATTTTTTTTTATTCTATGTTATCATATATGTATATATATATATATATATATATATATATAAAGATCTTTAAATTATATAGATATGGGGTTTCTTGGCATACTTTCATTGGTAGGGCTCAAGAAGCAGGAAGGATAGCTAGCTAATTAAAAATGATTAGAATTATACAATCTTCCATGGTTATTCAATTAGATAACAGCTTCGTAATTTAAAAAAGCATAAAATCTCCGAAAAATGAAAAAAATTGATATGAGTTCTCACAAAAAAACTAGACGGAAAAGATATTGAGGGTAGATTAACTTTATTTTGGGACACCCTACATGCAAACCACTGTAAATTGTATCGCCGTTTGGCGACCAAAATATATATCTCGCAGTTTTTTAATAATTTTTTTCTAATCGCCAATTTTTTTATTTTTGTTTGACAATAAATTGTAGAAAACCATCTAAAAAAACTTCTAACTTAGCATTAAAGTTTATTGAGGCACCATGTAAAGAGTAAAAATTGGTTTATAAGGTCTCTGCTGGCTTTCACAAATTTATATAAGTTTATGAGAGTACAAATTGGTTTATGTAAAGTCTCCGCTGGCTTTCACAAATTTATATAAGTTTATGACAATTACAACTTTATATTGAGGTTTCCACCGTAGCCGGCAGGTAGTAATCTTATACGTACTAAACCGGACTTTGGAAGTTGATCAAGCGTTTATTTGAAATATTTTTTTCAATATATTCAGAAATAATTGAAATTTTGAAAATAGTGAATTATTTTATCCCTTTACAGGGGCGAATACTTGAATTTACTTGGGTGAGCCAACTCAGAATGTTCAGTCCAATTTCTGCACGGCTTCCCCCCAGGGGCCAGGGGGTGAGCAATTTTTCAGGGGTGAGATATTGTGTGTTAATCCTCTCCCCTTTTCTGCCCCTGTTCTAGAGCTTTCGAATTGTTTATAAATAATTTAACGAGAGCTGGTTCAGGTTTCAAGCATCGGCGACCAATCAGTTCTTAGACAGAGTTCTGCGCAGAATTATGACGCATTTAGGCAGAACTATGGCGTATATAGTGTTTATTGATGTTAGTTTTGATTTAATGACAGTTAGCACAATTTAATGTCGTGATTTTAAAATGTATTATGTATTATACAGTGATAACCAGATAGGAAGTGGACTGCAGACTCAAGTTCTGTCTTTAAATAGTCCAATAATCTTGAGAGGCACAACAATTATAAAGTGAAAATAGACCCATTTATTTTACTTAGAAATTGCTTTAATAAAACTATTTGCTTTGTAAGGACATAAAATGCACTTCAGTATTGCTTTAATGTCGTCTTCCTATTCTACAGTTTTCTGGTTCTCACTGTATTTTTTCAACTACAGAGTGTCCCACGAAACATGACAATTGGTGCATAGTTTAAAGTGTCTTCTTCCATATAGTTTCATAAGATGTTTAATACTAACGAGACTAATAACTTTTATTACATGACAGTTGTATTATAGTAAAATTGATTTCACAGTAAAATATATGAGTTAAGCATTTTTTTAAAGAAATAAACTGCAAAAAGTCTTTAATATCTAATACAGTATGTGGAAGAAGACATTCAAAACTATTCACCAACTGTCATGTTTCGTGGGACACCATGTAGTTAAGCCAGGGTTGATTGAAAACTGTTGGAAGTAAAATTTATTTATTGATAGCCTTGCTGAAACAATTAAAAATAACTTGTAAATTTTCCGCATACACTTTTTACATTTCCTTTCATCTCTGATCTTTATGAAATTTTATGATTTGATAGAAATAATATACCATCTTTGTTTACTATTTATTGGTTTTGAGAGGAAAACAAGTTTCGCAGTTTTTTATCTTTTAGGTCGTTTTTCCGCCCATTAAAAATTTATCAATCAATCAATCTTTTCGTCCTCATTTTCGTTAAATATTAAAAAAGATTTTCGATAAAATAGAGATTTTTTTTTAATTTAATAATAAATGGTAAAGTAGCAAATAATCTCAGGAAACATAAAATTTCTATTGGTTTAAAGTATTACAATTAAATATTATGAAAAAAAGGAGGAACAATTTCATCTCTCTAGAATCTTAGTCTAAAAGAAGAGGTCTAATTTATGTGAAATACTGCTACGACTTCGTGACCTCGTAGCTATAAATCTAGCTTCTAGAATATGCCAAGAAATTAAATCTATATTTGATTCCGTATTATAAATAAATAACATTTAAGTTCTCTACAAGTTTCTTGAATTTGACCTTTAAATTCTGAAAAGTCCTTATCAATCTAAGTTGATAAGTCACTCCCTCTAAATACTGATCTCCTAATTATATTTCTAACAACCGCAAAATAATAATACGATAACACATAATTAACAAACTAATAAATTGAAAATAAAGTAAAGTATATTTTACTGTAAAATCAAAAAACTTTAAAAATTCTGACCAAAATACTCCAAAACCTCTAATTATCAAGAAAAGAGCCAAACATATAAACAAGAAAATCCGCAAATTAGCCAGATCTTGTAAGCTGTACATGTGTACAGTGAACACACATTTGTCCGATTCGTTAGACATTTTCTAGATATGCTTTAGCTGTGAATTCCTCGCCTAGCTAGCCTGGGAAATCGCAGCTTAATCACAGCTACCAAATGTTTAACGAATCGGGTAATTGTGGTCTACAAGCTTAATTCCTGCCACTATAGCTAAAGTTTTAAAAGGGGCGCTCTCAACTTTTACAACTAACACCATTGAAGTTCAAGGTCAGAAATTATTTAATCTTTCAGGTTTGATAGATATAATGCAAAATTATAAATAATTAAAGTGGTCCTCGTTTCAAATAACCTTCTATTTAAAGATAGCATTGTCATGTCATGTCTCCTACATTTATTTGTTCTACATTTGTACGTCTTACAGTATTTGTCCTACATTCATAGGAGATCTGATAAAAGGAAACTGTACGACAAGAGAGGGTGTAAACTTTTCTCTGACTGCTAAGACAAAGTATTGTCAAAACAGTAAAAAAACCTCCATGTGCAGTGTAGGAAAAAAAGATATGGCTTTTTAACTAATTATTGTTATTTAAAACTAGTTAAAAGTTGAAAAATAATTCCAGTAAAGTGAAATAAATAAAATGCAATGCCTCATGGCTATCCTCCCAAATAAGAATGAGATTTAATGACGACTCAGCTAAAACTATTTAAATTAGACGATATGATGGGTCGATATATTTTTTAGTTTTTAGTATTTTTAGGGTATACTAAATAATAAGGCAAATAAGTTAGCTTCTGATGTCAATACAGACACTAGAAATCAATTGATCAATGTCTCAAACAGGACACGATCCACACAGCTACAATCCCGTGAATAATCAAGGCCACTACACAGGGCGCGATCTCGTTAGCTAGTAATGCCAATAAATAGACTAGCAATCATTTGATCAATGTCTCAACCAGGACACGATCCACACCGCTACAATTCTGTGACTAATCTTTTTTAAGATCTAGATATTTTTATTATCTCCGTATCGAGATTATTTTAAATTGTACAAAATGGTTTACATGAGTTAAGAATAGTAAAGTTTTACAGCAAAATCGTTTACACATTTTTTTTTTGAGAGAGTTATATAAGAGTTAATTTACGGATACATTACATTTTTAAAGTGAAGTTAAAAAGCTATATCATTAAAAAACATACTAGCGCGGAACATTGATGGTTCCTTGCTGCATGCTATTTTATCTATTTGTTTGGAGTCGATATGTCGACGTGACGATAAGGGACTATGATATTAAAATACATACTAGCTTGGAACATTGAAGGTTCTTTGCTGATGTAAAGTAGGTATAACATTGAAACATAGAACTAGCTTGGAACATTGAAAGTTCCTTGCTAACATAAAAAATATTAGTTAAGAATTATTCGACCGACCGAAGTGCAATATATGCGAACATTGATGGTTCGTCTTAATACTATTGCGACTTCCTTAGCAGGATCTTACGCGGAACATAAAAATTCATTACATAAGGTATACTAAATACGAACATTGTAGGTTCGTTAGTATCCTCTTAAAACTGCTAAGTTAGTGTGTTAGCAATCTTGTGACTACTTGGTTTCTCGGCGTTTCGGCGTCTCGGCGTTGCATCTTGTCGCCGTTTTCAGCTGGTTCCAGGAGCAATTCAGTTCAGTTCAAACTGAATAATTAAAAGAAACTATTAGTTTTAGTTTGTTAAAAGCTTGCATTTTGTAGTGTTTAAGTCGTCTCGAGTGCAATTCGCTTTTTCAAAATATACTTCTGAATGGTTACGATTTTTATAGTAGTACTTATGCGGTGAAAGAGAAGATGTATAATTCAAGTATTCAGGCCTTTTATACAGACAAATATTTTAGAAATACAAAAAAGGATTATTAAATTAAAGTTAAATCGACAAAGAGATTATGTGAAAAGACTGTCTCAGTAGAAAAAAGATAATTAGTTTATTTTTGGATAAAATTCAGAATGAGAAGGGAGATTCAGTTTTTGACTCATGTCCTTTTAGTTACGGATCATTTTCCGAACAGTATTAATAAAAGATTTATTGATTGCAACAAATTATTTCAAATTATTTATTTATAGGGACAGGATTGCAGTAGTAAACTTTTATATCCGAGATATCGGATTAGAGGATAAAAGATAAAAAGATATTTTTTTGAATTTATAAAATTAACATTGTAGACTTTAAGTTAAAATTAGTTCCCGTACATAGTTTAAAACCTTAAAATTTTATTAAATAGCGTGTACATTAGTTTCGGTTCAAAAGTTTCAACCTTTACAGTCCAAAATGGTGCACACCCCTGCTCTCTGTATAAAAGAAAAGATTTAAAATCCATTAGTGATGTAGGGAATCCAGTCTTCACGGGGACTTATGGAAATGTATTTTTTACCGTTATTTTTCGCGGAGAAGTACAGCTATGAGGTCCCCCAGATCATCTGAGGTTCGACAGATTCAAGGATATTCTCGCACTCATTCATCTTCCCGGGTTCGGTTTAACTAGGTAAAGAGAAGAATATGTAGAAAGGGAAAATATCGAAAACAAAACCCTTCCATTTTCCTTTGAAGGCAAGTCCGTCGGGATTTTAATTAGGCATGTGGATTGGGTTCAAATTTTGTAATTTCAATTATCATTGGAAATCAAGAATATAGTTTAAACGTTGAGATGTTTAAGTTAGATCTTTGATTTTAATAATTCAATATCTCGCGATTTTATCAATGAGTATGTACATCGGGTTTTGAGCATATTTTAGAAACTAAAGACTTGTTCCTCAAATTTACGTTAAAAAGCCTTTCGGTTTTGAGCACCATGTGTTAAAACTTGACATTTTGTTACTGAGAATATAAATTAGATATGATTCATTCAGTTAAACCTTTACAGTCCGTTGTTGTCCGTGTGCGCGTCCTCGGTTTCTGTGCAAAAAGAAAATATAAGATCCAATGAGGGTGACTACAAACTGGCAGTTTTCCACGGAGCTTTTTTAGAAATCTTTTTTACCGTTAATTATCAGTTGTGGGGTGTAGTTCCGAGATTGTCCGATCCGAGATTCGTCTGGTTGTCAGCTGGGACCCATGTTTCGGTTTAACTAAGTATAAAGGAAAAACTTTGAAATTTTTTGCAATTTAAGTTGTATATTTTAGGGCACTCACGAAACGTTTTAATTACATATACTTGATATTACATCACTTCTAAAATTTAATTTCAAAAACGTGATATTGCAGATTAAGTTTTTGACAGTGAAGGATTAAAATAGTATTGGTTTCTAAGATTATTCCTGTCAACCCAACTGTAATGTTTGGAGGAGCAAGATATTTGATTGCAACTAGAAAAGCAATTATTGCCCAAGCCAACCAATTGAAGTATTTGGAGGTTTCTGGCGTAGAGAACATATTCAAGATGATTGTGTTCTCCCCTGATACTTTAAAGTGGATAACTTATGGTCAATCTGTTTCTACTAAGTATCCAAGTGATCCAACTCTGACAGATGGTTTAGTCATTGATCCAAGTCGATCTCATCCTGTCATGTGTATCAACCCTAGTAGAATTCTGAACTCAGAGATTTCCCAGATTGCAAAATGCCAAGGGAGACCATCTAGGTTGTTGCTGTTAGAGTGGGGCAGACTGTGTGAACCTGGAGATTTACTAAACATAATCCGTAGAGCGTCTGAGGAAGGAGGTGATAAGAGAGAAGACAGGCTTTGGTTTCCTAGACATAGTAGATATGAAGATTTACGTAATCTTTATATCAACATTACAGGGTGTGAACCAAGCGTTGAATGTGCTTGGGCAGAGAAGCGTATACTTACTTATCATACCAAAGCTGCGGAGAAAGCCCGTTTAGATATTGTCACTTTAGAGGCTCAGGTTGAGGCAGCTAAACGCAGATTAGGTGATCTGGAGTCACTTGAAAGTGAACCCCTGAGAAAAAGAGTCAAGTTAGAAAGTCAAGTGACTGCTGCTCCTCCAATTGGCAAACCAATCACTAATGCTCAGCGAGCAAGACGCAAAAGGTATAAGAAGTCAAGAAAGAATCGTTTGATCCAAGCTGGTTCTTGTCCAGATGGTCTTAGTGTAGATTCTGGTTCAGGTGGTCTGGTCCAGCCTGGATTAAGTGATGATTGTGAGTTGGAGATATCAAGAGACAAGAATAGGAATGTTGAACAGAATGCCATGGTGTCTAGAAATTCAGATGGGTTGGAAGTAGCTACATTCACAATTCCAGACCCAGTTGATCTTCATGTATCTGGTTCATTTTACTCTCGAGTTGTAGCTGACTGTGATGGCATATCCAGGGGTTCAGGTGAAAGAAAGGTTCATGTACTCACAATTCCAGACCCAGTGGATCTTCGTATACCAGGTTCATTTTACGCTCGTGTAGTGGATGAGTGTGAGGATGCTGGTTTCTAAGCTCAGTTGTATCTGTAATTATCAAGTTATATTATTTTTATATATTTTTTTTTATAAACATGTCAGTTTTGTTTGAACATAGCTATGTTGGTATGGTTTGATTGTTCATTTGGCAGTTTATCTTCATAGATGATTTTCTGTTGGCGGGAGTGTTTTGCAGGTTGAAGTGTCTGCAAATTAAATGTTCTCATCTATGAAGATTGTTCAGCACATATCTGTGAAGCTTGTGGATCAATATCAGTTTTCTTTGATTTGAAAAATCGTTGAAAGCTTGATATGTTTCTTTTTGTTGGTTAAGCACTCTTGTATTTCTATGTCTGTTTCCAGATGTTAAAATACCTGATGTGCTGAAGTTGTGTGCTGATTGTAAAATTACCATAATTTGATATTCTCAAAATAAAATTCACTCCTGAGTGGTTTAATAATTATGAAATCCATTAAAACACCAAACCACCCTGCTTATCATTGAAGTGTTTTGCAGGTTGAAGTGTCTGCAAATTAAATGTTCTCATCTATGAAGATTGTTCAGCACATATCTGTGAAGCTTGTGGATCAATATCAGTTTTCTTTGATTTGAAAAATCGTTGAAAGCTTGATATGTTTCTTTTTGTTGGTTAAGCACTCTTGTATTTCTATGTCTGTTTCCAGATGTTAAAATACCTGATGTGCTGAAGTTGTGTGCTGATTGTAAAATTTAGTAAATCGTGGGATTAATAGCCATTGATTTTAAAATCCTAATTTTGCAAATTAAAAATGGTCTAAAACTGGTTTACGCTACAATTTGGCAGTTTATTAAGGTCCAGTGCTTATTAAATCAATGCCAGATGCTATGTTCATAACAAAATGGAAAATATTGGTTTTGTTTGTGGTTTTTTGCAGTTTATGGCTGTGCTTTTTTATTTTATAAACTAGTTTAAGCACTGTCACATTTTAGTATACCTATACTTGAGCTGATTACAGATTGTGGACAACAATGTCGGTCTGGGCTGCAAAATCATATGCAGGCAGCTACAGAGGCAGTTTGGTAGCTGAGCCTGGGCCAAGGTATTTGCTATTATCAAAGCAAATGTAAAACAATACTTAATAAAACAAAACAGATGGGTACTAAACCCATAGCTAAACTGGTTTATTAAAGCTATATTGATCTTCAAGTTGTTATACTTTATCATTAATATTAGCTGATTTTAAAGGTAGTACATTATAACTTAATTTTTTCTTTCAATCTGATGTATCCACTGGAATTTAAAAATTCTGGTTGATCCATTCTGTATGCTCTGGGTATATATATAAAAATGGCTAGTAGTAATTTGAATAGATTAACTAGATTTGCCATTGATCAACAAAGCTTAATCATCCATAATCCACGCCGTCAGCCAGTTGTTCCTTGTCCAACAGGAAGTAATCCTTTGGAGATAGTAATCCCAGTTTCTACTTCTGAATCCCCTTTGGAATCCCCTTTTTATGGATTTCCTAGCCCACTGACAAATCAGTCAGAATTACGAGATGAATCATGGAATGAAACACCAATTGGTCATGGTCAAATGTCTGTGTTTAATGGTGGTACAAATTCTAACAAAACTAAACAGCCTTCTATTGAGCTTGTTAGAGATTTTAAGAATCTTGAATCTTGGATCTCCCCTTTGGACTATGATGGTGAAAATTTGGAATGTTTATCTGAGGAAGAGTATAGGAGATTATCTTCTTGGACAATAAGCTTGCAGCGCAGGTGTTTAATTGAAGATCAACCTAACTTCCTGAGTAAATTAGAGAAGCTTAAGGAATGCTTGGAGTTAAGGTATAGTGCACCACTGGAATTTCCAGGTGAGTTACCCATATGTCCGAATAATGCTATTTCACCCTCATCATTAAACCAAGATGAGATAGCAAGAATTCAACCCCAGCCTCACCATCTGGCTCAGCAACTTGATCCAATGAGTATAGATGAAATTAATACACCAAATGATCAGTCTAATACAAACTCTATAGATGAATCATTGGAGTTATCTCTTGGATTATTAAATGCAGTGCATAATATTGGATCTGCTAACTCCAATGAATTAAGTTCTGAAATTACTTCCAAATTAAACACAGTTATATCTGTGTTAGGATGCATTCCAAAACAAGACATCATAGTACAACAGTTGGCCACAATTCAAGAGTTTAATAATAAGCTGAATGATAAAACTGAAATCCTGGATTTGATAGCACGAGTAAAAAACATAGAATCTGAATTGGTTGGGTTATCCAAGAAAACTATTTCAACTAGTAATAGCCTTACTCTCCATAATCTAGATATACTAGGTAGAATAGAGAATACTAATGTAAAAATTGATAGGTTTAATCAAATTGCATCTGAAACAAAGCTATCTGCTAATGCTCTTACAACATGGTTAGTTGACTTGGACAGCAGATTAGCTGCATTAGAAAATAATGCATTGCAATGGAATAGAACTCCTTTACCAAGCATGGAATCGGGCGTTAATAGACCCTCATGTTCAATGGAATCTACCAGTATTACACAGCCTGCTTCCAGTGTAACTATTACCAATATCCCTATCTACACATCTATGCCAACGAGAACATCAATGAGTTCAATCTCTGCTGCTGATATATTTGGAATTGATAACACTTACACAAGTACTCTTAAGGAGCCAATGATGCCTACTCTAATAACTGTGATGGAGAATGCTCCTAGGGTTACATCAAGGATTGATTCTAACCATCAATTTAATATGGCTGCCACTAATTCTACTATTAGGATCAATAACTCATCACCTGTACGCGTTCAGCAACAAGGCACTTCTAGAATCAATGAAAATCTGATCCGCTCTAATTCAACTACATCATTGACTTCAACAGTGTCAGAATCTTCATTGGGTAGAGTTCAGGAGCGGCGGATAAGGCGAGTTATATCAGAAATTAATTCTGTGGTATCTCAGGTTATTGAGGATAATTTATCAGATGTCATTATTATTGATCTACATACTAATGTATTGAGAGATATCACAAAGGTAGCCAAGGAGAGTGAAGATAATGCAATCCAGTATTCAAAAATTCCAGATCATGATCCTTCACTGCTTGATTTATTAGGAGACTCAACTAGTAAAGCATATTCATGGATAAATGATTTGAAAAGGCTTTACAGAACTAGACAGCTTCATTTATTATCCAATAAGAATAAGATACTAATTGACAGTATTAGTTTAAAGAAATTCACTGGTGATTGCTCTCAAACAATTTTTGATTTCTTTAAAGCATTTGATGATCTGACTAAATGCTCTCATACTGCTGACCAAAAGGCTACATTGCTTTTTGGGTCATACTTGGATGAAAAAATCAAGCAGGAGGTTGCACTCATATCTACTGATTTTGAACTGCTAAGATCTCACTTGATAAATAAATATGGCAAAGCCAAACATATCATTGAAGTCAAGCTAGCGACAATCAAGGACAAGAAAGTCATGGATTCCTGCCCCCCAAGCAAACAAGCTGATCACCTTCGCTTGGTCTATTCCAAATTAGCAGAAATTCAGAATCTTCATCACACTTCTAATATTCCCATGGAATCTATTGCCAGATATGCTTTCTCTCATGAGTCTTTATCATTGGTAGTTCGCTCTCTTCCACATCTAATCATCAAAGAGTTCTTTGGGGAGATTGGGAAGATTGGATTAGAAGCAGAAGATTATGAAGGAGAGGCTGCATTTAACATTTTGTTGAAATTTGTTCAAGTTGCATTTAAGAATCTCACTGCTGCTGCTAAGTTATCTGCGGCTAATGTTCATGAAAATGTTTATAATGATAAACCTAAAGCAAAGGTTATGATTTCAGACAACCAAATGGTCACCTNCAAGTGACTGCTGCTCCTCCTGAACAGTCAGCCAAACTGTGGTATGATCCCAAATTAATGTTCCCATGCCCAATCTCTAAGCACAATCATGAGCTTGGATCTTGTACAGAGTTTTTTAAAATGACTGTGAAGGATAGGTTGAGTGTTTGTCGATCAAAGATCTGTTTCTGCTGCCTGGGCCCCTGGGACAAGTGCCGGCCTTCTTGTAATCGAATAGCTGCTGTTCCTGTCAGACTGGTTTGTCAGGATTGTATTGTTTCTACTAATTCCATTCAAAGAAATATCTTGATATGCAAGTCTAGTGATCACACTAAGCCAAGTGGTTCCTCACTTGCACAAGACATAGCTAAGTATTTAAAGGGATTCGACCAAAAGATGATGGCACCGTTGATTTCTTCGTCTACAACCAAAATGGTTGCTATGACCAAAGGACAAAAAGGCTCCAAGATTGGTGAATCTCTAACAATGCCAACTTTCTCAAGTGCACCTAACCCCAGATCTGTTGTCCCAGTAATCAATACACGGACTGGTAATGCTGTTGATGTCAATCGCAGGGATATAATAAGAGAAAGTTTTGAAGAAGCAACTTACATACTTCAAATCTTCAACCTTCGAGGATTTGATTGCTTATCCTTTTATGATAGAGGTGCTAATCAGCATTTAATTGAAGGTGATTTAGCAGAGAGGGCTAAATTGAAGGTGCTAAATCCCAAAAGTGTACCTATAGGAGTGGTTGGTGGTAGTAGAATTTGGACTGAGTACGGAATGTATAGTGTAATACTAGGTCCTGATAATGATAACAAATATCATGAGCTAAACTGTCAAGGTATAAAAAAAATCACAGGAGATCTACCTGCCTATGATTTAGCTGCATTGAACCAGGAAGTTCAAGCATGTAAAAAATTACCTGATGGAGAGAAGCTTCCTCAATCAATAGGTGGTTCTGCTATCAATTTATTAATTGGTATCAAGGATGCTACTTTAGACCCTGTAACCTTGTGGTCACTGCCATGTGGATTGACAGTTTATCGCAGCCAATTGACAGACAAATTTGGTTCAAATATCTGTTATGGTGGCCCCCATTCACTCTTCACTGAGGTGAATAAACTGGTTCATGGAGAGATAAATATGATCAATGTATTTTTTTCCAAACTAGTAACTGATTACCACAATTCGATCTATTCTGGTTTAGTGTCGCAAGAATTGGACTATGATTATGATGGTGAGTTGCCTATTGCTAAGCTGAGATACAAGGATAATATTTTCTGTCTGAAAGCTGATGATGAGGCAGAAATTGCTGTTTATCCTACTCCTATAACATTGGATGATACAAAAATATTTGATCCACAGTACATANGAATAAAGTTCCATATGAGTTTCTGTTGTGTCAAATATATTTAGTGGAATAAAGTATTTATTGGAAAGAGAATAGTTGGTTTTTAAAAAAGGAGTAACGTGTCAGAGCTAGGAGCCTGAGTTGTCTTCTGATCTGGAAGTACTGTTGTTCGATGTCAACCCTTACAAGAAAGTTGTCTAGTCAACAATTACTGATGTTTCAGTAATTTCCTGTGTCTAAGTATTGATAATTGCGTTGGAATACTGTAAGTATGATCCGGTGCGTGTATTAGAGAGACTCTTTTTGCATATCGTTCTCAAATCTTCTCCCCCCCATAATCTGTTTCGCGGATGTTAAGTATTTTCTACAAAAGCAATTCCAGGGACCGAACATCTGTGTGGAGGGATTTGATTGGCTGTCGCAAGAAAGAGAGAGAGAGTCGAATCTGAATACGTGTCAGTAGTTAGTTATCTGTGATACATTATACTTGTATGGATAGATTCAGGTTCATTGGTTCGACAACTCTTTCTTTCTTTCAGAATTAAGTATAAATGCTTGAGATGATATGCTGATGTTTAACCTTATATCGATGGAGATCCACCGAGGTAAAAGGGGTTTATTGCTGGACGACGACTTTTGAAAACGTTTGTGTTAAGAGGCTCTCTAAATGCGCAAATGCCGCGAAATATTTTGAGTTTTACCGGGAAATTTTCTTGCGGTTTTTGTCGAAGAATCGTTTTTATATTTTTGATATTATCTTTTTCTAAATCAACCCTTTTATGGGTTATTCTATTGTCAAACTAAACCTTTCTCTGCCTGTTTAGTTTTGACCTGATAAGTGAGACGTCTTCCAGATAGAATGGCAGCACTTGGATAAAAGTTTCCGAGTTCGTAAATTGGAAGATTGCCGTCACAGGGTATAGAACCTCTTTCTTCGATATGAGTTATAGGTAAAGGCATAGTTTTTCTTTTTGTTTAAGTTTCTTGATTTTGTTAAGCGCTGATTGTAGCGAAACATAATCCAAGTTCGAAATGTTAATGGTTTACACCATCAGGTTACAAAGATAGAGGGAATAGAAAATCTTAATTTGTGGCAAATGTGATTGTGCCCGCGTGTAAAACTGTCTGAAAAATAATCATATATTATATTAATATCAATATCCCTTTTCTTAATGATTTTTAAACACAAATTTAATCAAACTTTAATTAAATTCTAATTTAATTTCAAGATTGATTTTAGGAGTGAATTAATTATTTAGTGCATTGCATTGGTGTAGTTTACTCCATACTTTACTTTAAAAGTTAAAAGACTGGGAGGGGTATTTTCCATGCCCCTCATTTTCAATACACTTCTAATGGTAGGAAGTATCGCCCATGCCCCTCATTTTCAATACACTTCTAATGGTAGTAAGTATCGTCCATGCCCCTCATTTTCCATACACTTCTAATGGTAGGAAGTATCGTCCTACCCCC